CTTCATTTCCTGAACAAATCGAACTTCTAGTAAAATAAGCTTTGTTGGGAGTGGCTTGGGAAGCTAAACTATTCCCGGGAGCAATAAAAGGAAAAGGGAATCAGTAAAAGACGAGAGAACTCGCCACAACTCACCACGTCTTGGGTGGCACAGACGTCAGAGGTAAATATGAGAGATCTTATAGATCAAAACTTTTCCAGGGTGGGGGTAATGGTATGAGTTGGCTTGTTTTTAAGGTTGGTGTTAACAAGTATAAAGTTAATGTGTTGGTGTTTCTCTGCGGGAGACAGATTGTTGTCTTACTCTATTCTGCACTCTCAAAACAATACTCCGTAGACCAGGAATCCCCCCCCCCATTGGGTGTTCCCTCCATGGCACCCACCAACACCTTTCTTGCCCCCCACCAAGTGTTTTTAGAAAGCAAGTGGGGCTCTTGTCCAGCAGGGCTCTTGATTTGCCACTGCAGATCTGATCGCCTATGCTGCTTCAAATAACATCCCCCCCCCAGCAGCTGCAAGCACAGTGCCTGTTGTATTTTCTCTCACTGCTCTTTCCCAACATATTTTAACTACCCCTCTTCTCCCTTGTCCTCGGGCTTCCTCTGTCTGTGTGGCTCCACCTCCTGTGGCAGCCATTTTATGGTTGTGCCCACCACCCCGTGTCAGAATTCCAAATGTGCCCCCAGGCTCAGAAAGGTTGGGGACCCCTGCTGTAGACTCTTTCTTCAAGGCTCCCTCCCTTTCTGATAGAGGTGTGGCTGGCCTAGGGATGTAGGGATGCCAAGTCGTTCTTCAGCCGGAGCGGGGGGCTCCCGGCCGGCATCTGGTGTGCGTGCGCCGCATGCATGTCCCCCGGAGGTGAAGACGCCAGGCACGCTGGGACCATAAAGTTTTCCCTCGGATGGCCGTGGCCCCGCCCCCAGCGTGCCTGGCGTGGTCGTGTCACTTCCGGGTGACGTGCGCGTGGGGGTGGAGTTCCCCCCGGGGCCGGATCCGGCGGCGGCAGGGAACGGGCCTCTGAGGCGGGGGTTTCCCAACCCCCCGGGGGGACTTGGGAAGCCTATAGGGATGCCAGGCCTTTGCCCGCAACAGCCAGGACATTTCTGGGGAGGGGCCAGTGGAGGGTCACAACTGACCTTGAAGTGACATCCATGTTGGGTCTAGAAACATTAAAAACCACAGAGATTGGGGGGATTCTTGGAGTGAAAAGTTATGTCACTTCTGGGTCGAATGCCAGATTCTGTGGCATTATACCCTTCTGAAGTCCCTCCCTTTCTGAGGCGCCACCCTCCAAATCTCCAGGAATTTCACAACCCAGAGCTGGCAACCTTACTAAGGATCTCTGCAAACATCCCCTCCAGCCAGTGAATTCTGTGCCAGCATTGATGTTCCAGTGTAGCATCGGTGGCAACATATCCTTTCCTTACCTAACAAATACAATGTGATAATGGGGAGTAGGGATGGGCACAAACTGGGAAATGGTGGTTTGTTGGGCATTGTCAGAGTCCCACAGCAATCAGTTCTCAACAACGTTCCTTCAGAAGGTTCAAGTTTATTGAGTACAGTAAAGGCAGGTCATCTGTGCATACAATCAGTGTCAGAACTAACCTTAAGGGTGGGAGAGGGGACAATATACAGGATTCAAAGTGGGGGCCCCTGATGGACCAGAGCCTATCAGGGAATTAGCTGAAGCGTGCCTAAACTAACAGGTTCACATTCCTAGCAAAACATCAGGAGAGCAGTACCACGGACTGAGGCTAAGAGATAAGGCACAGCGAGGAGAAATGAAAGCTAAGATTCCAGCACAGTAAGAAGCTATTCATTAGCTGTCTCACCGCCACCACCTGCAATGGCAGCATAGCTGACAGGCATAGTGGTTCATTTGATTAAACGAACCATGCACTTACATGAACATTTCTGTTTCCTGAACTGGTTCATGGTTCATTGGGTTCGTGAGTTTGTGGAATGTCCCCATCTGGAAGTGAGCCCCGAAGGTTTTTAAATGCCATTGGAGCTCACCACTGGCCCGCAGCCCCATCTGAGTGCGCTCTGAAGGTATTTAAATGCCTTGGAACTTACTTCTGGGTCACTAGATCTATTGCCGCCATAAAAAACCACTGAGGACCCATTGCTAACATTCTGCTAGGATGGCTACCTGAGAGTAAATACAGCTTGAAGAATATTTATCCTATTTCAAAAAACATGCCCAGTGTGAAGCTGACCAATAAGGAGATTATCACTAAATGCGATGCGCTAAACTGAGGTGAGGAACACAGCAACCCCTAGCGTAAGGCAACCACACAGCTGTGATAGACCAACCATGCCACACAAAAATATATGGAAATTTCGGTGCCATGACACAACGTTTGTTTTTTCTCATTGGTATGCAGAATATATACTTTGGGATTCCTAGAAGAAAAATCAGAGAAAAAAGAAAGGTGCGGAGTGCACGCACAGCGTTCAAAGTCAAGCCCTATGACTCGGCTTCAGTGAAAATCAGAAATATGCTGTGTGTGCATAACAGGCCACTGTCAGTCTTGGCAGAAATTATGAGAATGACTCATAAGGCGTTCCAGTCCATTCCCAAGGCCCTTAGCCTTTCCTCGTAGGGCTCAGTCTCCAGACCCCTGATCATTCTCGTTGCTCTCTTCTGCACCCTCTCAATTTTGCCCACATCCTTTTTGACATGAGGCCTCCTGAACTGCACACAGTACTCAAGGTGCGGCCTGACCAAGTCAGTATGCAGAGGGGCTATGACCTCCTGCGATTTCAGTGCTATGGCCCTTTTAATACAACCCACCACATCACACTGACTGCTCATATTTAGTTTACAGTCCACTCTTACCCCAAGATCTCTTTCACATACACTACTCTCTAGAAATGTATCCCAGTATTTGTGCTTGACATTTTTGTGGCTCAGATGTA